CTGCCACCTTGGCAGCGGGGACTGGGAAGGAAGTAGAAAGGTAAGAGAGGAAGCTAACTTGGTCCACAACAAAACTGAGAAAGCTTGTACTAAAAGTCCGTAACCTAATGTTTTATGTTGGATGTTATTGCAAATCTATGAAAACAAATCTGCGCACAAACAATGAGAAGCTAGTGACACAGACAACGGAAAGCATTGCTTTAATCTTGGGTGGGTCTGTGGGCAGTTTTCCTTCTGGGTTTCTATAGTTTCCATTTTAGTGTTTCTTATACAGTGTTTAAGAAATAGAGAAGGGAGGGGCAGCCCCAGTGGCGCAGCGGTTTAGCCCCACCTGCAGCCCAGGGCGAGATCCTGGATACCCTGGATCGAGTCCCACGTCGGGCTCTCTGCATGGAGCCTGCTTCTCCCTCTGCCTGTCTCTCTCTCTCTCTCTCTGTCTCTCATGAATAAATAAATAAAATCTTAAAAAAGAAATAGAAAGGAGATAAAAAGAGAAGGGAGATCGTGGAATGGCAGCACGATCCCCAACTGCAGACTGGCCAATTGATTGTTTCTAGGGATGGGACGCTCAGGAGTTTGAAAGGAGCTTTGGAAAAGAGGTAAGATAAGACTTCCTCCATTATAGGGAAACTGGCTAAAAAATCGAGCTGGTTGGAAGGTGAGAACAACTGGAGGGTAAAACTTCATCCTTTCCAATAAATATTTTAGGGGCACCTGAGTGGCTGAGTCGGTTAGGTGCCTTTGGTTCAGGTCGTGATCCCGGGGTCCTGGGATGGAGCCCCACCTCGGGCTCCTTGCACTGCAGGGAACCTGCTTCTTCCTCTGCCCCCTCCTCATGCTCTCTCTCTGGCTATCTTTCTCTCTCTCAAATAAATAAATACGAATTTTTTTTAAATAAGTATTTTAGGGGATCCCTGGGTGTCTCGCGGTTTAGCACCTGCCTTCAGCGCAGGGTGTGATCCTGGGGACCCGGGATTGAGTCCCCCATCGGGCTCCCTGTATGGAGCCTGCTTCTCCCTCTGCCTGTGTATTTGCCTCTCTTTCTCTGTGTCTCTCATGAATAAATAAATAAAATCTTTAAAAAAAACTTAAAAAAAAAGTATTTTAGTGCCTAGGCTTTTCTAGGTTTATTGTAGGCACTGGGGACACAGCAATGAGTAAGAAACACAAAGTCCCTGCCCCCATGGAGCTTATAATCTAATGGGAAAGACAGTTATTAAGTAAGAACAAATAACTATGAGCTGAAGTATATGTCATACACTTGAAGATAGAGTTAAGAAAAAAAGATAAAATGAGGGACACCTGGGTGGCTCAGCGGTTGAGTGCCTGCCCTTGGCCCAGGGCGTGATCCTGGAGACCTGGGATTGAGTCCCACGTCCAGCTGCCCGCATGCAGCCTGGTTCTCCCTCTGCCTGCCTCTCTCTCTCTCTCTCTGTCTCTCATGAATAAATAAATTCTTAAAAAAGAAAAAAGATAAAAGGAGATCATGATGTAGACAGTGTCATATGGTGCTCGTCTCACAGAGTACGCAGGTGCGTGGCAGGTGCCTGACGTTGGCTGGGCCAGTCACAGTGCTCAGGATAAGGAGTTGGGGAAGGAGGCTGGGTCTTTTGCACTGACCTTGAAACTGGCAGGGCAGCTATTTTGTCACTGTGTGGTCTGAGAAAGGAGCCACCATGCAAGAGAGAAAGGCAGAGTGATGGAGATACCACAGCCCTGGTGATATTCTTTAAATACTTGAATCTTCTCATGCTTGAAGTTGGGACCACATCCTTTTCGTTTAAGTTAGATTAGAAAAAATCACTTGTGATAGAAAAATTCCTAAGGTATTATTATTATTAATTATTGTTATCCCACTGCTTCTACTTTTGTGACTTTGCTAAAAGCCCAAGTGAGGCTGAAGACCTGCCCAAGAGGTGATGCAGCAGCATTTCTGGCTTTAGAGTCCCCAAACTCTGGGCTTAGCTTGACAGATACATTTGTATGGGGAAGATCCCAAAAAGGTGTGTGCTTTTCTCTGTGTGTTCCTGGATGTCAAAAGGCATCTATGCATGAGAGCCGCAGTCTGTGACTAGGTGGATGTTCCACCATGACCAGCAGACCCTTCAGCCTGCCTAGAGATACAAGCTTGCCTGATTCCTGAGGGCCTGTGAACACAGATTCTCAGCCCCCACAGGCGCTGCTGGATGTCTCTGCTCACCCTCTGCCCAGACCTAACAAGTACGCCGAGGCCCTTGTGGAGCAGGCAGGGCAGCAGACCACCCAGGGCCCTGCAATTTTCTCCCCTGGAAGTTGGGCACAGCCTGGCGTCTTTGCTCTTGTCCGGAACACTGGTTTCTCAGCCTTTCCTTCTACAGGCACCCCTTCTTTTGCACATCCACAGCTTCCAAAGAGGCAAACAGGGAAGCAGAGCCAGGGAAGGGAGGAGAGTCTGGATCTTGAGTGGATGGCTTCTTTTTCTTCTTCTTCTTCTTCTTCCCTCTTCTTCTTCTTCTTCTTCTCTCTTCTTCTCCTCCTCCTCCTCCTCCTCCTCCTCTCTTCTTCTTCTTCTTCTTCTTCTTCTTCTTCTTAGATTTCATTTATTTATTTGAGGTAGAGAGGGTATGAGAGAGCTTGAGCTAGTGGGGAGGAGAGGGCAGAGGGAGAGGGAGAAGTGGACTCCCAGCTGAGCAGAGAGCCTAATGCCTGGCTTGATCCTAGGACCCTGCGATCATCTGAGCTGAAGATGGTGTTTAACCGACTAAGCCGTCCAGGAGATCCGGGTGGATGACTTCTTGAACTTCAGACTGCACCCCTGTAAAATGGAACCCTCTCTACCTCCACTGCCTGTTCACAGGGCCCTCCCTTAGGGTCAAATGACCTTTGAGTACTGTTTAAGATCCCATATTTCAGATAAGTCTCCTGGAGCTTCCCTCTTGACCTACGAATACCTAAATACCAGAGGCTTGTCCTGCTCTGCTGCTTATCCAGGGCAGCCCCCTTGATCCTACAGCAGCACTTTAAAATAAGACAGGCTTCGATTGGAGAGAGGAAAGGGCTTGAACCTAGGAGATTTGACTTGAAGCTGCTACATTTGAGTGATACTGAGAAAACATCCATTATCAATATCAAAGAAGGCACCCCCACCCCAAATGTGTAAAATTTTAACATGCATTGGGGGCATACAGGTATCTGCTACATTATTTATTGCTTATTGGAAATCTCCTCTAATTGAAAACTAAAAATTAAAACAAAAGGGGTGTCGAGCTGGCTCTGTTGAAAGCATGCAACTCTTGATCTTGGGGTTGAGAGCTGGAGCCCCACACTGGGTGTAGAGATTACCAAAATAAATAAATAAATAAATAAATAAATAAATAAATAAATAAATAAAATTAAAAAAAAAAAAAGAAAAAGAAAAAAGGTGCCTGTCTGGCTAAGTTGGTTAAGTGTCTGCCTTCCTCTCAGGTCATGATCCCAGAGTTCTGGGATAGAGCCCTGCATTGGGCTTCCTGCTCAGCAGATAGTCTGCTTCTCCCTCTCCCTCTACTCCTCCTCCTTGCTTGGGTTCTCCTCTCTCTCTCAAATAAATAAATAAAATCTTAAAGAAAAATTAAAAGAACCTGGAATTCCATGGAGATTTAGGGGAAGGATATCCCTCCCTCCCCACCAACTGGACAGGTGATAATTGTCTGTGGTTCCCAGACATCATCTTGATCTCTCTATCTGTTTATCTGTGCGTATTTAAACATTTATCCATCTAAAATCAATACATCAAGGCTATGCTTCAGGCAGGCAAGGCGAAGAAATGGCAACTGGGCAAGGGGGAAATCTTCAGTTTTATTTTATTTTATTATTTTTTTAAGATTTTGTTTATTTATTCATGAGAGATGCACACATACACACAGAGGCAGAGACACAGGCAGAGGGAGAAGCAGGCTCCATGCGGGGAGCCGGATGTGGGACTCGATCCCAGGTCTCCAGGATCAGGCCCTGGGCAGAAGGCAGCACTAAACTGCTAAGCCCCCGGGGCTGCCCTATTTTATTTTATTATTTTAAAGGATTGTGTTTATTTATTCATGAGAGACACACACAGAGAGAAGCAGAGACACAGGCAGAGGGAGAAGCAGGCTCCCTGTGGGGAGCCCGATGTAGGGCTGGATCCCAGGACCCTGGGATCAGGCCCTGAGCTAAAGGCAGACGCTCAACCACTGAGCCACCCAGGTACCCCAAAACCTTCAATTTTATTTTATTTTAAAAAATTAATTTACTTTTTCATGAGACACACACACACACAGAGAGAGAGAGAGAGAGAAAGAGAGAGAGAAAGAAAGAGAGAGAGAGGCAGAGACACAGGCAGAGGGAGAAGCAGGCTCCATGCAGGGAGCCCGACGTGGGACTCGATCCCGGGACTCCAGGATCACACCCTGGGCTGAAGGCGGTGCTAAGCCGCGTTCCCGGGGAGTCGGTGGACGTTCAGAGGGCAGATGAGCAGAGTTTGGGGGCGGGTTTGCGGGTGTGTTGCCTTTTTGAAGGTGGGGGGGGGGCCCGGTTGGCGGCGTCCCCGGGGCCGCGGCGGGGCGGGGGTGGGCGCCGCGTGGAGCACCCTGCGGCACCCCGACCGCCGCGCCCCCACCAGAGCTCGCGGCCACACCCGGGCCGCTCCGCCCCCAGCGCGGGGAGGTGCCGCCGGGGCGGGGTGCACGCTGCGCCGACAGCCCGGCCCGCTCCCCGGGCGGCCCCAGCACCCCGGCCTCCCTGATGCCAGGGGCGGGGGAGGGGAGGGTAGGGGACCCGGGCTCTTCAGATAATGAAGCAGACCTGCGGGGGGTGGGTGGGGGGTCGCAAACCGTCGGCCGGGACCCAATCCTACTTAAAAACATAATTAAAAATACTTAAGCTGGTTGCCAGGATTTAAAACACAAAGAAAGGCACACAGAGCCGCGGCGTGGTAGCTTCCCACCTCTTTGCAAGGGTGTTCTCCTTGGAGCCTCTCCAGGATCCTGGCGTCATCCGCCGGGTCAGCTTTGCTTTGGAGACGGCCGAGGGAGGTTGTGAGTCCCGCTAGATTCCTACCGGACCCGAGGACCTGGAGTGCCATGAGTCAGGCCCTGGGCTAGACGACCCGCATCCCTCAGACCCCCGTCCCCCTCCACGGGAAGTTCCAGCAGGCCCAGGACCTTTCTGCCTTGCCCAGCTGGATCCCCCGCATCTGGCCCCGTTCCTGTCACAGAGAAGACCCCAGAGGTTGCAAATAAACATTTGCTGGGTGAAGAAAACAAATCCTTACATTTACAGATAGTAAGAGGTAACTTTTTTTTTTAACATTTTATTTATTTATTTGAGACAGCATAAGCAGGGGTGGTGGGGGTGGTAGTGCATGGGGTGGGGTAGGGGCAGAGGGACAGGAACAAGTGGACTCAGGCTGATCAGAGAGCTGCACCTGGGGCTGGGGGCCAGGACCCCCAGATCATGACTGGAGCCCAAGGCAGACGCCTAACCAACTGAGCCACCCAGGCACCCCAAGAGGTACCTTTTCTGAGCATTATCCTAACTGCTTTATGTACTGGCTTGTTCAGGCCTCACGATAGCTCTGTAAGGTAGGAACCAGCATATCCTTGTTTTCACAGATGGGGAAACAGAAGAGGCACAGAGAAAGGAGGTAACTTGCTGGAAGGCAGGGGAGCTGAGAATACAAAGCTGGCTGTCCTCTCTCGGGTTGTCCCATATCAGTTTTACCTATCACTAAAAGAAATGACATCCTCACCCCACCCGGTAACCTCAGGATATTTGGGTCTCTCATCTTCTCCCCTAACACTTCTCTGCCACCTGGTATGGGAACTGGGAGCCGTGGCTTCAAGGGTCAGCTCTGCTGGTAGTTGGCAATGTGACCTTGGGCAAGTCGTTCCCCCTTAGATATCAGAAAGGTGCTCCCATCTTTGGAGGTGCGTGTTTGGATTAGATCATCTCTAAAGCTCTGAATCCTGTGGCCTTTATGGGAGCGGGGGTGGGGGTGGGGGGTTGCTGATCTTTCATTTTCTGCCCTTGGCAAACAGGCTCTTCAGGAGTCCTTGGCTTAGCCGGATGGTGGCTCTGCTCCCAGGGGCGGGAGAAGGTTTGGAGTGCTGGCAGAAACTTCCTGAATTTCCCCTAGCTCCTGCTGTGGCCTTGGCTCTGGGTGGGGGCTCCAGGGCCTCTCCCAGTGGGTGCCGGAGGCTGGAGCCGCCTTTGTCTCCCGCAGGAGGCCAGCCAGGCGGCTTTGGCTGCAAGCGGCCCCTGCCCAGGCCTGGGAGATGGTTTTTTTCCCTGTGTGCTGCAGCTGGGACCGTTTATAATAGGAAAAAAAGAGAATGACCAGGCCAGCCGGCTGGAAAATAAAGAGACTTAAAAAGAAAAGGGCTAGGCTGTTCTTCTCCTGTGGAGGCTTTGGTTAGGCAGAAAGTTTTAGTTCCTTTCTGAAAGGCATTTGGGCTTTTGAAGTCCCCTGCGGGAGCTCCCTTTGGCCCCTGGGAAGCCAGGCCCTGGCATGTCCCAATGTGCGTGGCCAGGATGGGGCCGGGGCACTCAGAGGAGGCAGCAGCAGGCCCTGGGAAACACTGCAGCAGGCTGGGCTCACTGGGGCCCCAGCCTGGCCCCCCTCTGCTCCCAGCCTGAGCCCTACCACCCTGCTTTGGTGGTCTTTCACCTGAATTTCCTCTGCTGCCTCTGGCTTTGAATCCTGACCTGGTGCTAGGTCTGGAAACTAGAGAGATTTCACAAACGGGGAGACTGAGGAAAAGGGAGGGTTTGCCTGGGGTAAACCTCAGGGAATATAGACGTCTTGAGGGCCTGTTGTGTGTGCTTTGCCTATCAATATTAACATTAGCTAATATTTATTATGCCCTTGTAGCATGGAAGGGCCCAGTTAATGAATCCAGGGACCTAGCAGATAGAAAGGGACAACTGTGTGCGAAGGCACCTCTCCCAGCAGCTGCCTTACCAGCTCTCTTCTGGGGCCTTTGCTGGTTCCATTCGTTGCAAATGAGCTCTCCTCCTTGTCTGTCCACCCCTCAGCAGGGTCACACACCATATCCATCACTGAAGAAGGACCACAGTCAAAACATGACATTTATCAACCAGCTACTATATGCAAGGTCCTGGGTGCCGGCTCGTTTCATGCCCTCTGCACATCCTGGAGCAGGTCAGTGGTGACGTTATCTTATTGCGCACTACCATCCCATGCCACTGGCATTATTCTCCTCATTTAATTCATGACGTTGCTATGTCCTGGGATGGAATGCCAGACCCTTTTGGCTCTAGAAGCTGAACCCTTTCCTTGGTACTGTGCCCTGTCTCCTTAGAGCCTGCCTCTGGCTTCTCTGGTCAGCTTGCTTCTCCAGCCACAGCCACTGGGCATGAAGTGAGCACCACGGGGTGCCGGGGGGTACATATCAAACTCCACAGGTCTTCCTTGAAGTATGTTCCATTGTAGTTGGGTGGGCAAAGAATTTTACCAATCCACCTGTGCTGTCCACTAGAAACCCTTTATGTGAAGATGGTTGTTTGCACAGAGATGTGTTAGGCAGCTCCTCTACTGTCACACGGATTGGCGATCTTTCTCCCAACACCATCGCTAAGTTCTGAGCATCTGCAGGGCACTAGCAGAGGGGAGCTGGGTAGACTCAACCCTGCCTATCCTGCGTCTCTCCTTCCTGCCCATGGGTATGGGGTCCCCAACTATATGTGCCAAGTACTGATACCACACATAGTAGTGTTTTTCTGAAATCTCCATGGCATTTCTCTTAGTCCTGGGCACCTAGTAGCTTCTTTTCATGACAGTGTGTGTGTGTGTGGTTGTGGTGGTGGTGGTGGTGGTGGTGGCGGGGGGTGGAGGGGAGGTTAGAAGGAGAAAGGATACATGCACAGGAAACAAGCAAATATCAGATTCGTATGTGTGTGTGTGTGTAAAATGATCTAAGCTAGTTTGGTCCTGCACACTCTTAGGTCCTTGTTGGTAATTAATAGTGGCCACAAAAGAGGTGGGAGAGGGTCTGCTATTCTCATGTAACCTTTCTACCAGGTGAGAGTGAAGGCAAGTCCCTGACCAGATCTTGCCACACACACCGGTGGTTATTAAAACAGTACCACCTTGGACAAAACAGTTCCTATAACCAGCTCAATGAAGTCCCAGCATTCTGTCCTTTCAGGTTATCTAACCACTTCTGGCATGAAAGGTGTGCTTGGGATGCCCCCCCCCCCCCGCCCCATCCCGCCCTTTGGTCACAGTCCTGGGCAGGATTCTGTGTCCTCTGCTGGGTATCATGGAATCCATTCTGGCTGGACACGGACCCCTGAGTGATCAAGCCAGCTGTCCTCTGGGTACAGGTGACCCAGGCTCAGTGGATCTGTATTCCCTGTTTAGGCGAGGTGGAAGTGTCTCTAGATCATTTCGCTAAAGCACATTTTGAATGTCTTTAATTTCACCAACAAGAGTTCATTTGTTTGAATCTGCCACATTTTTTGATACCCTGTTTGCAAATTAGCAAAACATTGGTTGCTGGTTGACCTACAGATGGCCAAAGGTCTTGTGATGTGTTCCAGAGTGTGCCCTGCCTGATACAACCACTCCTAGTTAAAACGTACGAAACTGGGCACCTATCACATTCATTATATACTGAATTGTTGTTTCTTTTCAAGAATCACAGGTGTTGGAAAAGAAGTCTTTTGAGAGCACAAAGCAACAAGTGATCCTGAGTCCAGTGACCTCAGGCATGTGTGTGCCACACACCGGGGCAGTTAGAGGTGGTCCGGGGAGATTCTCAGAGCCAAGGCCAAGAGTTTCAAGCTTTCTGAGGGTGTGAGTCCACTGGGACCCTCCTGCTAAGTTGGTTTCTTTGCCGCCTTGTGGGTGTTCCCTGCAAAGACTGCTGACACTTGAAGAATTAAATAATTATAATAATGATGATAAAAAAGAAATGGCTTTTCCAGCTGAACAGAAACTGAAGACAAGGAGGTTCCCACACCCGTTGTATTGTTTTTGGCACTGTACTCCCAAAGCCCCCGGGAGGCAGATGTCTGGGCTCTCTGAGTCGTGGTCATGGAAGGGGGCGGGGGAGGCAATGGGGACCTTTGGAGAATTTCAGGGGCATCTGTGGGGACTTCCCGCCCCAAAAAGCCAGGCTGAGAACTGAGCAGGGAAAGGGACTTGTCTTACTCTGTTCGGAAGCCTCAGAAGCTTCAAGAACAAGTCCTGTAAGAGGGACCCTCAATGTTGTAAACACCCGTGTAGAGGCCACTGCCTGCTAGCAGTTGAGGGGTGCCAGGCCTTCTCCTGATGGTTTGACCTTAGTACCCCCAGGACAGGAGTGCCCAGAGAAACCTGGATGCCACGAATAGGTGGATCATGCTAATAAAACCACAAGGCAGAAGACAAAAAGGAAAAAAATCATATCCACTCAAACACAGATTCCCTCTCAATAGACCTAGAGCTGCTTGAAAGCTTCTAGAAAGCAGGGGCATGTCTGTCCATCTCTCAAGGGAACACCAGGGGAGGAAGGGACTTGTCAGTGCAAGGAGGAAACATGCCAGTTGTGCAATAGGCATCTCCCTCTAGAAACGTGGTTGACCTTGGGGGGTGGTGAAGGTGAGAGGAAAGAAGGAGAGTGGAGGCTGGAACATGGCTGTCAGGGCTTGTGGCCTTACCCTAGGCCTGACAGGCCATACTCACTAATATGAAATCCTCAGGGCAGCCTCTTGAGATCCACACTATCTGCATCCCCCTTTTGCAGATGGGTAAATGGAGGCCCAGGAAGTCCCTTCCCTGAAAGTCTGAAGTCAGACAATGAGGAAGACTGCTGGGTTGGAAGATGGGTCAGATGAGCTCATCAGCCCGGCTGTGACTACTGCCTCCTTTCGTTCTTCGCTTGGAGCTGCGACAGCCTCTCCCCAGACTCACTCAGCTTCCCACCTCAGACCCTTTACACACACTGTTCCCTCTGCCAGGAACTCTGTTCTCTCCCCTCTTTCCTGCCTCCTTCCTCCTCCTCCAGGCTCTCAGCCAGACCACCACTGTGACCCTCTGTTTTTTGGCCTCATTTACACTATATTTTTCCTTCTTAGGATTGTTCAAAAACTGTAATTAAATAATTATTTATGGGGCCATTTATTAAAAGTCAGCCTCCCCACTAGAGAACCAGCCTCAGCAGGGAGGGCCTGTGGTCCCTGATCGTTGCCTCCCCCTTCGGTTTTGGCACACAGTAGGCACACAATCAATAAACACATGTTGAATAAACAAATGAACAAAGGAATGGACTTGTTTCCTGGGGGAGACCTGGAGGGGGGGGGGGCTTAATCTTCCTTCCCCAAAAGGACTCTTCCTTATAGCCAATGCAAGTTTCCCAGTAGAGAGTGTGACCTTCGGGTAATTAAAAGGTGAACAAAAATCATAAATTCTATATTGTACATATTCCAGTGATTGTTGTTTACTTGCAGGGTGTGTGTTAATGTGTGCAAGGGTGTGTGTGTGTGTGTGTGTGTGTGTGTGCATGCACACGTGAGCCTTTGCGGATGGGGAGAAGGTGGTCATTTGGTGATTTACTGCAAAGCAGCTCTTGAACAACTCTGGAGACCCTTCAGGGATACTAGTTCAGAGGCCACCAAGGGAGCCCTACCTTATTTGACTTCCCTGTCTTACCTTTTGTCGGCCACAGCACCCCCCTGCATTCACAGGATGACAACCTGCCTCTTTTTGAAACTCAAGAAGGAAGCCTCTCTTGCTGTGGGTCTGGGAATGCATCATTAGGTGTGTCCAGAAAAGGTGGGGAGACAGCCCTTTGGGTGGGAGGTGCCCGCTCCTGCAGCCAAGTTATGACCTGGAAGGAAGGCGCCTGTTTCTGTGAGCAAGGTCTCATTTGTTTTCAAAAACGTCAATTTGTAATTTCTGTTGCATTTATGATGGTGGCTTCTTTCAGTTTACACAGGATGTCCCCGGCCCCTCCTTGGGGCAGGAGCAGCTGTCCACTTTGTGGATGAGGAAGAAGAGACCCGAGAGGCCCTTCTCACAGAGGAAGGGCCCAGACCCCGGACACACTGATGGAAGTCGGGCAGGTGGGGTGTGAAACCCCAGCAGCAAATGACCTTTTTCTGGTCCCTGGTCACCAGGGTGGTGAGAAACAAGGCCTGCCCTGCCCTCACCCAGTGCCCCCTGAGACCCTTTTGGTAGGAGCTCCTGGCTTTTTGCTGCTCTGGAATTTACCTTAAAACAGCATTTTTCTGGAAGGAGTTAAAAATGAAACAAGCTTCAGAGAAAGCGGGGCCGGGCTGAAGCAGGGATGAGGTCAAGCTCCCACTGCACCCTGGCTGCCACGGAGCTGGGGGGCGGGGGGCAGCGGACAGGTCCTGCAGGGGAGGGGGGAGGGCGGGAGGCGAACGTGTGCGACTGCGACGTGCGGGGAAGGGGTCCAGAAAACTTTGTGCTCTTCCCCAGGACCCGGGCCCTGGAGGATTAGCTCGGAATCCGCTGCCGCCCGCCCCCCATCCTGTTACCCCACCTCTGGCCTCGGGGGCTTCCGCCGTTCCCGGAGGGTGGAGAAAAGGCGGCCCCGCGGGTCTCCCACCACCCCCCGCTGACCCCTCCTCCCCTCCAGCACACCCCTTCCCCACCGCGCTCCTTTTGTCCGTCCCCTTCTCTCCGGCTCCCCGCTGGGCTAGATCCGCGAGGCTTCGGCCCCCCAGAGGGCCAGGGCGGGCGAGCCGGGGGCTGTTCTCCGCCCCCTCCCCCGAGGAGAGGCAGCCCGCGGCGGGGGCACCCCGGAGCCGAGGCCAGCCGCCCCCCTCCCCCAGCGTGTGCCATCTGCCGCCTGTCAGCCTCTCTCCGCGGGCCTCGATCCCAGGCGCCGGCGGGGGTGGGGGAGCTGCTCGCTCGGCCCCTCCCTCCTGGCTCCCTCCCCGGCGCCTCGCGGCCTCTGCCCTCGCCTTGGCCCTTGGCACCCCCTCCCCGCCTGCGCGGCCGTGCCCGAGCTGCGAGGGCGGCTCCCACCGCCCCCGGGAAGGCCAAGGCGTTGCACACTCCGGGACAGCAGCGCCGGGGAGGGCGGCGGCCGGGGGGTGGGAGTGGTGTGGGCAGCGCTAACTGGGGGGGCGGGGGCTCGGGCCCGGGTCTCAGTGAGGGGACATCTCTGTCCGGCCCCTGGCTCCTCTGGGGATCCCCGCCGCCTCCCGGGGCCGAGGTGTCCGCCTCGGCGTCGCGTTTCCCCGGTGCCCCGACTGTCCCTCGGAGGCGGCCCAGAGCGCGACAGCTTGGCCTCCCCCCGTCCTGGCCCCCGCCCCGCAAGCCTCAGGCCTTCCCCGCACCCGCCGGCCCGCGCTCGCCAGCCGCGGGGGAGCGGGGGTGCGGGGGAGCGGGGGTGCGGGGGTGGCATCGACCTCCGCAGTCGGCGCAGCCACGGGTCGGAGCCCGCAGGCCCGGTGGGTCCGCGGAGCGAGCCGAGCGGGGCGCGGGCCGGGCCGGCGGGCGGGCTGGGGAGCGGCGGGGCGCAGGCGCCCTGCTTGGGGCGGGCGCCGCTGCCCGGCCAGCCCCCGCGCGGCGCTCGGCGGGCAGCGGGTTTTTCCCTGAAAGGTTGCCCTGGGTAACTCGTCTCCGAGGGGACACAGCCCTCCCCTCTCCAAGTGGCAACTTATCGATCCGCGAGATTGATAACCCCCAGCGCCGCGCCGCGCGCCCGCTGCGCTCTCCCAGCTCTGGGGCGAGCCGGCCCAAGGTGGCGCCACTCGCCCGGGAGGGGGGCGGGGTCGGGGCCTCTCCCCCACCCTGGACCGGGCCGCCTGCCGCTGGTGGGGGACGGGGGGGCTTCAGAGGGACGGTTTCGGGGAGTCGCCTGCCCAGGACTTTTCCGGCGTCCGAGCGCTTCCCGGGCGGGCTCTGAGGCCGAGCCTCCGTTGGCTCAGGAGTCGCAGGGACGCGAGGCGCCCCCTGGTGGCTGGGGCAAAACTTTGGGGGAAAGCGGGAGCAGGTTTCTTTTGTCAAGCGCGGGGTGGGGGGGAAGGCAGTGCTACTGCAACGTTTTGGGGGCCAAGATGTTCCTCTTATTGTCTTGACTAAGAAATGCGCACCCAGACGCACCATCCTTACAAATGCAGGTGTGGAGGGCCGAAAAGAGTTAGCTCAGTGGTGGGAGAGTTTGCAGATGTGGGGCAGGGATGGTCTCCAAACACCGACCGGTGGGCAGAGTTCACGAGGGAAAAGCCGAGTTCGCAGATAATTCATGTGCGTGGGGCATAATTTGCGGAAGTGGCAGTGCTAGGGCAATTCACCCCAGTGGGCCCCCCCCTTCTTTTTTGCAGTTTGTGATGCTAATTCATCTTGGCAGCACGCGTGGGCCCTGTGTCAGTTCCCTCCTCCCGCCCCGGGTGCCGCGGGCGCCCAAGTCGGGGCCCCGCGTGCCGGTGCGGTGCCCGCGCCCGCGCCGAGCCTGCCGCCGCCGCCGCCGCCGCCGCCGCCGCGGTCCGGGTTTTGCGGGCGGCCGGAGCTGTATTTCCAGCGCTGTCCATCGCTCGGTGCTGTTGGCCCTCTCTCCGTCTGATCCGAGCCGGAGCAGTGCGGGGCGCCCCACGGGATCAGAGCGCTCCCCCGCCGGGACTCCGCTCCTCACATCCTCCTGCTGGGACCCGGCTACATTTCCAGCCAAGCCTGGCTTTATTATGTGTCTCTGCAGTGCAGCCCCAGCAGCCGGATCGGGAGGAGGAGAGCCAGCGACCACAAAGAAGACAGGAGCGCAAGGGAGGCTGGCGGGCGGGCCGGCGCCGGCTGGAGCGCGGAGGAGCCGGGGCGCAGCCGCCGCCGCCGCCGCCGCCGCCGCGGCCGCCGCCGCTGCCCGGGAGGACGGGAGCCCGGCCGCCGCCTGCTCGTCCTCCTCCGCCGCCGCGGCCGCCGCCTCCCCCCTCTCCGAGCCCCTGGCCCATGGAGGCAGCTAGCGGGGCCGGCGACTTGGCACCGGCCTGGGGATCGGCTGCGCGCCGCGCGCTGAGCACCGCAGCCCGAGGGCAGGCAGCGGCGGCCCGGCGCACGGGCTGAGCGATGCCCGGGGCACGGGCGCGCCTGCCCGCCGCCGCCTGAGCGCCCCCGCGCGCCCCTTCCTCCTCCGGGGGGCCGGCGCCGGACCGAGCCGGGAGCCAGAGAAGGGGGCGTGAGCCAGGGGCCCCGAGCTGCGGCTTCCGAGCCACTGCGGCCGTTTCGAGCCCCCCCCCCAAGTAGGCTGAGTTGAGGGACACCCCTCCCCATCCATCATAATCTCCAAACCAGGCGTTTGGGCATTTTTTAGCCATTAATATTTATTATTTTTTTGTGCGGCAGGGGATAATTTGAAGGCTTTTTTTTTTTTTTCCGGGGGGTGCTGAGCTTCCGCGCTCCCGACCGCCTCCCGGTCTCCACCCCCCCCCCGAGACCCCCTCGACTCCAGCCCCGTCCCCCCTCCTCAGATGGGTTCATTGTGAGCTCCGCACCGGGCTGCGTGGCCGGACGCCTGCAAACTTTGCACAAAAATCCGGCAAGGGGCGGAGGAGGAGAAGGAGGAGGAGGGTGAGGGTGGCGGTGGGGTGGGGGAGGGAGGGAGGGGGCCGCAGGGGCCGGGGGCCGGCGGGGGGTGGGGAGGAGGAGGGGGGCGGCTTTTTTTTTTTTTTTTTTTTTTTTTTGCATAACTCGGCTCGGCCGAGTGGCCTCCGGACTCCCCGCGCCGCTGGGACCGCCGCTGGGACCGAGAGCCCCCGGCTGCCGCATTGCAACAGGCAGGGCCCCGGCGCGGCCCCCGGGCCTCCCCCCGCCCCCGAGCGGCCTCGGCCGGCCCGGGCCGTCCCCCCCAGGGAGGCCGCCCCGGACCTACGATCCGCTCCCCGCAGCCGCCGACCCGGCTGCAAAAAAAAAAGTTTCCGAGAGGCAGGCGGCGGCGAAGGGGGAGAAGGGCAGCCCGGAGCGGCGGGGGGCGGCGGGGGGAGCCGGCCGCGGAGGGCGACGGAGCGCCGGGAGCCCCGGACATGTCCAGGCGGAAGCAGGCGAAGCCGCGCTCGGTGAAAGGTGAGCGAGCGAGGCCCGGCGGAGGCGCGAGCAGGCGGGCGGGCGGGGAGGGCGGGAGCGAGGGAGGAGGGACCGGCGAGCGGGCGGGCGGCCGGGGACCCGCGCGAGCGAGCCGAGAGGAGGAGGAGGCGGCGGCGGAGGAGGAGGCGGAGGCGGAGGAGGCGGAGGCGGGGGAGGAGGCAGCGGGAGCGCGAGGCGGCGGCGGCGGCGGCGGCGGCGGCG